TAGGGGCCGAAAGAAAGCCACGTCTAGAAGCTGTGTCAAATGTGTACTGTTTGAAGGCAGAAAAATTAAAGGAATGTCGTTTTCACGACAGAGTTGTAGTGCATGTACATATGAAGAGGGGTTGTCGCATAGTCGCACCTTTTTACCATTTAATTTCCTAAATCTAGATACCAACTGGAATTCAAGCCAATCTGCAAAAATATTTGCATCGAACAATCCAGAACTGCTAGCGTTGTAACGGCATCCTTTTGGGCCTTTCTCAGCTCAAGTAGTCCACATTTTAGTAGCTTTTTTTAACATTTTTCTCCAGGGAAGTTCTCCTTGAAAACTTTGACATATCTTCCACAACGGTTTAAATAATTTTTGATAATGTTTCTCAGTTCCCTTGCGTTAATAGGGAACCCATTCTCTCCCATATAAATTAGGCAATTGACAAATTGGTCTTTTTTGCCGGGAGTAAATACGTTTTGCCTCCCTGGCGTTTTGGAATGTTTCCCTTTCAGTTTATTTTAAATGGTCCTTCTTGGAATCTTCTGCCCTTCTCTGTGAGATTTCAGCTCTTCCTCTTTCATTTAAACACTCTTTCTTGTGTATAGTCATCATAGCGCCGTGTATAGTCATAATTTAAAAGGGTTTCTTGTGTATAGTCATCATAGCGCCGTGATCCTAGTACTCTTTTAGGTGTTCTAGGCATATCTGTAACAAAAATATATATTAAACATAATATATATTTCGGGGTAACTTTGCGCCACTTTTTTGGAGCAAAGTTACCCGAATCACCTGATAATTTGTAAAATTAGGTTAGAAAAAGAAAAGTTTATCATTTGTTCATTTATAAGTCACAATTGAGTAAAAAAGTTGATAAACAGTATATACTTAATGCATACACAAATACTTACTTGTGAGATAATAGCACAACTTTCTACACACACCAAATGTTATACATAGTTTTTACTGAAGTTTTTACACCACTACCTTCTCGACTCGCTGTAGGCATGTAAATGGAAGAGCAAGTCGATGCTGCACATGGGGAGACTTTGTCAATAGGCAACCAGTAAAACAGCGATGCGCATTTTGTGAAGACGGTTTGTAATTTATAGGTAAATAAAATGAAACTTTTTTTAGTAATGGAGCAAAGTTAACCTGGCAGGGGCAAAGTTACCCCGGTTTACAGTACCGTCGTATTTTGAAAATATCATGGATGAGTCGTAAAACAAAGGAACAAGTTCTCGAACAACTAGGAAAACAATGCGAAGTTTTAAATTCCACAAAAATCAGGAAATTGGAATACTTGGGGCACATCGTGAGAGGTGAAAGATACGAACTACTAAGGAATATAATGCAGGGTGGAAAGATTCGAACGTAATTATGAGGTTCGAATCGATTTGTAAATGCCCCTTTGTTCGCTTCTTGTCGACCGACGATGATAAATATAATAAAAGGCTGAAGTTGCGGAGTAAAAGTGATGGTTTTATTGACAGCTACTGGTAATTACACAATATGATGTTCGTTAGGTAACTACTTGTAATAAACTGTACTCACATGAACTCAAATCCCCAATTTATAATCTCACAAATAATTCATACCTCAGCAAAGAGGTTATTGCTTCGTTCATACCATACCAACAAACTTTAAACTCTTTGCTTGCATTACAATTTAATCTAGGCCTTAATTGCGACACATAGGAAGTTCAATTAGAAAATATATTATTCGGCAATTTATTTAGTTGTAGGTAAATGAACTAATTATTACAATATTAGACTATATGGTTTTACAATAACTCACTTATACACGGTGAAACTGTAAAAGATTAAGAACTTAAGAATGAGATTACAAATTAAGGAGTTAATTTGTGATTGAACAAGGGTATAATCAAAGGCAGAAGAAGCGTAGATAGACGTAAAATCTCGTGGCTATGCAATCTCCGTGAATGGTTTGGATGCAGTTCAATTGAACTATTCAGGCGCGTAACCAACAAAATTATAATTGACAGTAATGAGTGATTTTCAATCTCATTAATTCAAAGAAGGGCTTAATGAGTCACCCTGTCTGACTCCGCTTTGTACTGGTATACACTGTGTTAGTTTTCCATTTAAATTTGCCTGTATTCGATTATGGAAGTAGATGTTTTCGATGGTTTGTATACTATCGATTGGTATGTTTCTTTTATAAAGTAGGAGTAAGACGTCTTCGACTTGGATGGGATCGAAAGCCTTTGTCAGATCTATAAAACATAGACATGCTGGTTTATTGTACTCGATGGCCTTTTCTGTGATTTGTCTTAGTACAAATACGTCGTCTACGCAAAATCTTTCAGTTATACTTTCCCCTCTGTATTTTAGAAGCTCGTTGGTTATGCCGTCTGGTCCGGATGGCTTTCTATTTTTGAGTGAATTTATGGCTATCTCTACTTCCTGAAAAGTGATTTCTATTTCGTATCTTAATTCAGGTACGTTATTTTGTTAATTATTATTTTCCTTTCCTTTAAACAGTTTTGTCAGGTATCTCTCCCATTTGTTTGCTGGTATGTTATTGTATTCCTTTAATTCTGTCATTTTTTTCTGTTGGTTTCTTATAAATCTCCATATTTGTTTTTGTGTATCGTAGTACGTGTAAGTCGCTTTCCACCTTTTGTGCAAACTGTTCCCAGTGTTCATTTTTGTTCTTCTTACCAACTGTTTTGTTTCATTGCGTATTCTTCTTTAGGTGTCTTTTTCTGAACCATGGTGTATTGTTGTTATTTATTTTATTCAGTATAACTTTGCATTTTCCTGGAGCTTATATTGCTGCTTCTTCAATGTTGTTTTAAATTTTCTTCCAGCTCGCGTTTATATCTTCAATGTCGTCCATTGTTTTAGCTGTATCTTCTGTGCTAGCTTCCTTTGGTACATTTCTCTTGTAGAGTCGTTCTACAGTATTTCTACATAAAATTTTTCCTCGTTGATTTCCTGTAGAAAATGTTTTGGTGTTATTTTTATTCTTATTTTTGCTAGTACTAGTTTGTGTTCACTTCCTGCGTCTACTGAGTTTGAAGTTTGGGGATCTAGAATCTGTCTTGGGTGGATTTTTCTATTAGTGACTATAAAATCAATCATAGATTTGTGTCCCCTGGAGTTTTGAAATGTATATTTATACTGGAGCTTATGGTCGAAAAATTATTGGTTATTGATTCCTAGTTCGTTAAAATCACAGAGATTAGCCATGAGTTCTCCATTTGCATTAACTTGGTTTTAATTAAATCTTTGTTTTACTCTTAGAACTATTTCATTTCCGATTCGTGCATTAAAGTCATCCAAAAGTATTAGTTATTCTTCATGAGGTTTTTCATCCAGGATGCTTTGCAATTATTCGTAGAATGCCTCCCGTTCCTCCTTAGGTTTGCAGTCCTCGGGGCTATGGATAGATATGACATTTAATTTTTGGTAGTCCATTGTGATGGTCATATGTATTATTCTTTCGGCGATATAACGCCAGTTATTTATGTTGTCTTTAAATTATTTATGGACATGTATACCTACGCCTGCTCATGCTCGTTCTTCTTTCTTCACTCCACTGTATGCAAGAAAATCGTATACAGATATTAAAAGATTCTAAAAGGTACTGCTGACAAATATGTGAAGACGTAAAGCTTATTTTGCTTAGATTTTTTTAAATAATCTTAAAAAGTGAAAAAGTGCTTTTGCCTATAAAACGTTCTTGTACATTTTAGAGAAAAATGGTTCAAACAAAAGTTATAGATCATAAAAAGTTCTTTCATTTTAAGAGTAAAATATAAACAATAATTGACCGAGATCATTTCAAAAAACCATTATTTTTACAGTAATTAATAAATGTAATATAACTTCTAAATTTTGGCAGTTGTAAGTTATTAAAGTATGCTACATTTCAACTAGATCTACCAAATAGTTTATAAGTTATTCGATTTGTTTATCCCGGAGAGAAATTAGTTTTAAAATTGAAGTTGTCCTGGCCACAGTCACTATAGAGGTACCTTGTAAATCGCAATACCTAATTGATTCTATTATTGATTCTATTATTGATTCTATTATAAGGCTTCCTTTTTAATATGTATTAAAAAAATTCAAAATTTTATTAAATTTGTTATTAAAACAGTTTAAAAAGAGCCGACTTTTTAGTTTATAAAAATGTATAATAACTTTCAGATTTTTAGAATTTGGAGAATTTATTTATTTGAATTTGGAAACTCTCAAAATTGAAGAACTTTTTATGATCTACAACTTTTATTTAAACCATTTTTCTCTAAAATCTATAAGAATCGTTTTATGGACAAACATATTTTTTCTCACTTTTTTTTAACAAAGTCAAATTAGCTGAGTGTCTTTACGGAATTTTTATCAGCTACCTCTTATACCTTTTAGAACCTTTAAATACCTGTAAAAGATTATTTAGCTTTTTTTCTTTTTTTTTTTGACTGGGGTAGAAGCACAGCGACAAAAAATGAAGGAACCAATGGATGCGTTCTAAAATCGATCCTTTTCTAATGAATGCTTTTAGATCATAATTATTTATTTGAATTTTTATATTAGTTGTATCGAACGTTAATTTTTTTAAGAACTTATATAAAATTTATAGGTCACATATCATATTAGGTCACTTGTGAACTGGGTCGGGGGCCCCCTCATGACATTTTGTCACCCCTGCTACCCTATAGTTACTCCACTGAATATATGACTAAAATACGACCAACCATTTTTTAATAATTATTAATTTGATTATCACTATATGATATATCTATGATATATCTATAATATATCTATAATATATCTATGATATATCTGATATATCTATGATATATGTATGATATGATGGTATAACAAATGGAGATAGGATGTGAAAGAAAGCAAATAGAATGTGGGCTATAGTAAGATAGGCATTTAAAAAGAGAGAGCTCGCTTTCAATAAGGATCGAGTATTTCTCAAGAATTACACACAAGAAAAAAGTACAAGAAGAACTCTATTGAAACATTCTCTTGACTTACCCGTTATTGTTTCATTATTTGCCTCGTACATTCGTCCATTAATCGGTAATTTAAAATTCAGAGCCTTGGTAATACCATTTTGTATAATATCCTCATAGTATTTAATTTTTGTAATGTCTTCGGCAAATACTGTAGAAATTACACTTATTAAGAAACAGTAATTTATCATTATCACCAACATTCTAAAATGCAGTTCTTATCATTAATTGTTACCTATATATTCATAAGTGAACACAATTCTTTACAAAGTAATTGTTTACGTTTCAAAAATAAACAATCAAACTACTTATACTAAGTTCGTTGATATCGATATTTTTTGTCCCGTATTCTTATCAGAATTTTTTTTTGTATGCGAGCTGCAATCACCTCTTGTATGTTAAAAGTCAATATATATGGTTTTAAACGATAAAACAATAAAATAAGATTGATACAAAATCTGCTGCTGCTTCTTTATATTTGCTGCTGCTGTATATAAACTTAAATTTATTTGCTGCTGCTCTATATAGTCCAATAGTCAACCAGGATAAATTTCCTACAATGGCTCGTTTGGCCAGGGATATCCTATCAATTCCAGCTACGTCCGTCCCAGCAGAAAGGCTTTTCTCCAAAGCCGGCTTACCCATAAGGAAACAAAGAAGCCGGCTCATCGAGGATTCAGTGGCTTCGATTTCTTGTGTCCAGTCGTGAACAGAAGATAAAATATTTTTTATGTTAATTAAAGAATACTTTTTTTTTTGTGGATTGAGGTGGAAAGGTTCAAAACCGACTAGGGAAGGTGTCCCTAGTACTGTTGGATTCGATCCAGAGGGGAAAACATGCTAGGGCATAAAGTCCAGAGTATTGAATATATGTCCCGCATGCCCCCCTGACTAGTCGCCTACCAAAAAAAACCACCCCCTCTTCGACGCGTGATATCCCCGGACGAGTTCATTAGAGAACGAAACATGGGGATATCCTGCGTTGCCTGAAAGATAGTTCTTAGATAATTGTCTTAGGTTATCCTATGCTGCTTGCCTAGGAGCGGCAAGCACATAGGGGAAGGTCTGGTTCCTGATTTGGAACAATAGTTCAAGGACTAGTAATTATTGCGAAGGGCAGTATACGTCCTTTGAAGCTCATGATTGACTATGAGACTATGAGATATGAAAGGAGCCTGTATGTGTATGGAACAATTGGATAGAGAAGAAGAGGAGTATGGTTCTTAAAGAGTTCAGAGGACTTCTAACATCCTGATCAAGGTTTATTCGGAATAGTAGAGAATAACTAAGGATATAAGTACATTTGGGCTTGTATTTGTTACCTATGTTACGTCTGCTATGCTGATTCGACGGTATCCACGTACGTATCGCGTATGACTTAGAAGGGAGAAAAAAGTTCTAAGTGGTCCCTTATATGGTGCGAGAGGAGACCCTCCTCACCCATCTTGTTCGGCTCTTTCCAGGATGGTCTTTCGTTTCATAATTTGCGTAATCTGGTCTATTATAAATTTAAAGTTTTGTTTACTAAGCAACGCTATATGTATAATGTTATTGGGCCTTATATCCCCTAACCTATTCCGCAGCCTATTTTGTTCTTGGGCGAAAACATTGCACCGAAAGATGCAATGTTCCGCGTCGTCTCTTCATGACATGTAGAGCACATATCATCGTTGGTTTTCTTTATTTTAAATGTGTACGACTTGAAGGACCCATGTCTTGTCAAAAACTGTGTAAAATAGTAATTTACCCGCTTGAATTTACAGTTGTACCACGCAACCACATCTGGCATTAGCGTTTTTGTCCATTGAGCTTTCGTAGTCTGTGCCTCCCATTCCGTTTGCCATTCTGTTAATATCTGCTCTCGTATCGTCGCCCTTACCAGAGGTAAGTGACCATTCCGGTTTTCGTACAGCATCTGCCGTTCCCTGGCTAAGAGATGGATGGGGAGCGTACCTGCTATGGTCTGTAGGGCAATAGTAGAAGTGGTTCTGTACGCACTTATGACTTTGAGTAGGGGTTTGCGTTGTGCTCTTGTTATCATATCTTTATATTTTTGATATCTTAGTACATCTATTCAGGAGGTTCCGTATAGGAGGGTCGATTGTACAATATGTAGATATAGTCTTCTCTTGGTGCTGCTTGGACCTCCTATATTAGATGTTATTCTCTGGATGGCTGCTGTTTGTTTGTCCGCCTTCTTAACCACTCTCGAGAGATGTTTCGTAAATCTTAGGCCTCTGTCCAAATCGATGCCTAAATATTTAGCACAGTTCGTTGGTCTCAGCTCATTGCTACCTAGTTAAAAGATCAGATCTGGTCCGTTTCTTGGAACCTTCAGAATGACCACCTCGGTCTTGCTGCCTGCGAGTTCTAGGTCATTATTTTTCATCCACCTATTTACCTTGTTAAAACAATCGTTTATCGTATCTACGATTTCCCAATACATGTCACTAATCGTTAAGATAGCTAAATCGTCGGCGTAGGCTATTGCTATGCTATCTTTGCCATAGTCGATGTCCAGTACCCCATTATAAAGTACATTCCATAGTGTTGGGCCCAGTACAGATCCTTGCGGTACGCCAGCTGTTAATCGAATCTCTGCGTTTCTAGCCACTGAAACATATCTGTCGGTTAAGTATCTTTTTATAATGTTTATTAAATATCCCGACACGTCTGCAGTTTCTAATTTTCGTACGATGTGTGCCCAGTTGGCGGAATTAAAGACGTTCTTCACATCAAACATTATCAAAGCAGCCCATCTTCTTCTTGTGGTCTTAACGGTGTCCGTAATATGCTTAACCGCATCTACCGCCGATTTTGCTTTTCTAAATCCGTACTGTCTAGTTGAGATAATGTCCTTTTCTCTCAACTCCTCTTCAAGGCGATTTTTAACGATATTCTCATAGAGTTTCCCTAAACAGTCAAGGAGGCATATTGGCCGATAAGAACTGGCTTCGTCCGGATTTTTACCGGGTTTAAGTATTAGTTTGAGTCGCGCACGCTTGAGTTCGTCAGGGAATTCTTGTGTTGTAAGCAGCTGATTGAAGATTTCTATAACCGCTTCTGGTTGTAATGTGGTTAATAGTTTTATCGCTTCTGGTGGCACACGGTCTAATCCAGGAGATTTACCCACTTTGATGGACTCTGCGGCTCTCGTGAGTTCTGCTAAACTGACGCCATTCGAACAGGTATGTTCATTTTGTACGAAGTATGTGTTCTGCTTTGAGGGAAAAAGGGTATTCGCAATTTTCTTTATTTTATCATCACACAGTTTGTACGGGGTCTCTGACCTCAGCGTTTTGGTGACTATTCTATATGCTTCACCCCATACATCGTTCTCCAGCGCCTCGCACAGGTTTTTCCAACATGTGCGCTTGGCCCTTTTAATCGTCATTTTTAACTCATTTTTGGCGCTTTTTATACTCGTCCTTTATCTGCTGGGTCCTATTCCTCTGCGCGATTCGCCTAAGTCTAAGGCATTCTGTCCGTTTTTGCTGTATTTCGTCATTCCACCAGTATGGTACAGTAGATGTGACATATTTGTTATTACTGCTCGAGTTGTGTGCTCGTATTATTGCATTTCTAAAGGTGGGAAAGTCGGTAGCTTCTTCGTGTAAGTTTCTAGTCTGTTCAACAAATCTTACTTTATTGAAAGCGAGTGTTCTTCTGCCGTTCCTAGTTGTGACCTTTGTTCCTATCTCGAATGAGATGTACTTATGAAAAGTAAACATGTTCTCGTCTAGTACATCCCAATGTATAATTTTGTTTGTATACCACTACCAAGTCGAACGATGAAATCCATTCGTTCCATAATTCCCCCCCTATTGTCATTTCTTGGGGACCCCCATAGAATGGATTTGGCGTTTATATCACCAGCGATTATGAAGTATTTTTCTACAAGTGACGCCTCAATAATACTATCTACCTTATCTTGGTATTGTGTAGTGTTAATGTTTGGAGAAATGTATCAGGCTATTATTGCCACATCATTCAGATTAATCTTGATAAATCCTTCATTTTTAGTGACCTTTTTTATTTGCACACTCTTATTCACCAAGTAGACGGCAACATCTGACCGTTTGTCGGCAACCCAACCAAATTTTTTAACGATGTTTTTATTTGGTTCAGGGACTATAATGATATCTGCTTTTATCTCCAAGGCTTTCTTATGTATCAAGTCGTGTGCCACCTTGGCCCGTCCGATGTTTACTTGCAGTATCTTTAATTTTTTTAACCCGTTCGAAGCCATTTTTAGAGTCTATACCACTAGCCAGTAAGTTCACATGGTGAGGGCGTCTCTTACGTCTATCCGCACAAATCTATGACGCTACCCTGAGGGGATATTGTCTGAGGAGTGGAAGCAGTTGGGTCCCCATCCGAAGAAGGAGGGGCGGAGTAGGCGAACGAATTGGGGGTTTGACCCGTGCGATATCTCCCGCGGCACTGTCGCAAAGAGAGCTAAACTGCTCCATAAGTGTAGAGTGGACAGCCCCATTGAATACCTCCTCATCCACTCTCCTCAACTCCTTTGAGGAGGGAGATGGGTCCGTAGGCATCTCGGTCAAGTTTACCTCATTGATGTCGGGTACCTTTTGGGCAATTTCCATGCTGGTGACCTCTGTTGTTGGGGGAGGCTGATGCGCCTGTTGGCGAGGGGCCTCGATGTTTTTATTTTGCTCCGCCATCCTTGCTCTCTGTAGAGCCTCACGGAAGGCACTTGCCGCTACCTATCCGATGCTGCTCATTACATACAACGCAGTGCTCATCTTCCTTACATGTATTAAAAGTATGGCCTTCTTTTCCGCACCTATGGCAGAGCCCGGTACGATCCGGGCCATCACATCTCGCAACGTCATGTTGGTAGCTCCAACAGCGCTGGCATTTCCTAACGACATATCTTCGCTCCACTTCACACCGTGCAAGGCCAACCTTCAGGTGTCCTAGGTCTAGTATCTGCCTTGCCGCTAGCGCGGTAAGGATGACCGTGGCTGCCTTGGTGTTGTTTCGCATAGGGCGGATCTGTTTTATAGCAAAGTTTGGTTCCCATTTGCCGATTTCTCTTTGAATAGGAAGCTTAATGTGCTCCTTCTCCGTGTTTGCCGTCATGCCTCTTAAATGAATAATGGCCTGCTTTTCAGTTCCAACGAGTTTAGCTGTCAGTCCACTCTCCTTATTCGCTATCGCGTTTTTGATCATTGAGGCGGCCCCCTGGTCCTTATCTATTGTTATTAACAGATTTCCGTCTCTCGTGCTACGTAGCTTCGGATTGCTTCTTTACCTTGCGTGTCTCCTACTGCTTTTTCCACCCCCTCAAGAAGTTGTGAGTAGGTTGAGTCCTTTTTGGATACAATGAATCCATATGTAGGCTGCTCTCGCCGCGTGGCCGTGGTGTAGATCTGTACCGTCGTACCTTTAGTGTTAGTAAAGATCACTTCAGCCATCTTGCGTAGTTCAACCACCTGCATGTAACTAACGTGGTGCAGAGCCACCGAGTCCTCGTGTTTTATCTTGTCTCTGACATGCTCGAGAGCGTACCAGAGTTGCTCGGGTGTGCTGGCCGACAGCTTGATAACTTTCTCTACTTTAGTCCTTCTCTCCCCTCCCCTTCTTACAGTAGTAGAATATTCCAGCACCTCGAAGTCTCCTTCGAGGGTTGGTAAGTCTGGGTACCTGTCTCGATACAGTCTCTGTACGGAGAACATCATTTTGGGGTCGTTTGGTTCCAGCGCTACGACCTTTACATTACATTTAGAGTCCAGCGGGTACAGAACTTCGATCGTCGTTTTTTTGAAGACCTTCTCGGGCCAGTCGTGGAGAGAGTGCCTCTGGAAGTCAGCAAAATTGTTAACTCCCTCGAGACTCGTCACCCTGACTGCCCTGGGAGGGCCATGCCACGCGTCCGTCTGGGTGCCACATTCCGTAGTCGCGGGTTTCTGAGCAATTGAACTGGCATCAGCGTCCACCTGCGTGTCCGTGTCTACCATCATTTTTTCTATAGATTCAGTCAAATTTATCTGTAACCACTTTTTGAAATGCTCCATTTTTTGGAGGGCATGCCTCTTGATCAGATACCTATAGAGTTCCTTAATAGGCCTCGGCGTATTTGGGAACTCCTGTATTAGTCCTGTAAATCTGCTAAATTGTTTTCCCAGATCTTCTAGGTAATCTAATAGCTCCACAGCCTCACTGCATGTCTTCTTTTTGTAGGTTTCTTTCTCTAACTTGTCGTAAGATGCTTTTCTTTTAATATATTTTCGTCAGGAAGAGAATTAATTCTCCTCCTGCGTAGTCTGTATGCCTTCCCGATTTGTCGCTCGGGTCGCCCGCAGTTTTTGTAAAAAATTCGGTATCATTTGGATCCCACGAGTAGCTAGGGATTGGGTTTTTCCGCCACCACAGAGCCCCGCATGTGATGGTAAGGCTGCTTACAAAGGGGTTCGCCAGGTGCCCCGAGGGAACCGTTCATGGCCACGTATCGTGTGTCATCCATCCTTCAGCACGGTATCTAACACCTTAGATTTCGGATTTTTTCCCGCTGGTTTACTCCGTCGGATTTTTGGCCAGTTTTCGAGTAAAAAATACAGTCCGGGAGGGTAATTAAAGAATACTAGAATATTGGGGTATATATATATATATATATATAAATATATATATATATATAAATAAATAAATATATATATATATATATAATATATATATTTATATATATATATATATATATATATATATATATATTTATATATATATATATATAATATATATATATATATATATATTTATATATATATATATATATATATATATATATATACATATATATATGTATATATAAATATATATATATATATATATATATATATATATATATATATATATATATATATATTGTTATGCTATTTAAATTGTATTCTATTGCTTATTTAGAAAAGATCCTGTCTATATTTATTAAATGATCTAATCTCCAATTAATCACAATAAATCAGCATTAATTAATTACAATCTCAGGCTATTTAACTTGTACTATTTACCTTTGATCGTGGATTCAAAATATTTTCCAATTGGCTTCCTAATTGGGATAGGTAATATGACCTGAATAAAACACACAGAATTTCAACTGAACTATATGTGAGATGTCCTTTATTTTAATGAAATTTTATATGACAATCAATGCTGTAATATTTGCAATATAATACTTTAAATATATGAGAAGTTGTTTTCTATCATGGACCCAAATGTTATTTTACATTGATTTTTAATATGTGTTATAACTAAGCTCTCTTTATAATTTTTTTCTTTAAATGTTCGCAAAATTAACTGTCTCTATTATTTATTCAATTTATTTAATTAATAAATGAAAACCACACTCCTGCTCTAATGAAAATTGACTGACCTTTCGTTCTCTGCCGTTGTAATTCTATGGCCACGCCATAAAAAAAAACCTTTCTCTGCTTCTGCTCCTATTGTGGTCCAGATGACGTACACCTTTCTCCTATCTGTCCTTGTATCTGCAACCCAACAACTCGTGTAATTCTATGCAGCCTCCTTTTGAGCGAATCTCCGCGCCTGTTTATAACTTCAAATGTTTCCGGCTTCGTCTGATATTAATATTCTTATACCCTTTGGTTTTTCTATCTCTCTGTACCCCGTTCCTCACACTGATCAGCTTTTACACAGCAAATAAACACACCCGGTAAATTACGTCTTCGGGACTTCAAACAAACACAAACCACAAAGCTCCTTCCTTCTTGGGCGACGAAAACTGACTAACTAACTTTTTTCCTCTCTCCTATCTCATAGCCAAAACCACTACCTCCATTGCATTCAAAAATTGACCAAAAAAATCATCCACCTCTGTGACGTATATCGTTACCAACCAACTCTCTTTATAAAACGTCATTCGGGTAATTCCAGAAAACAACATTCTTTAATTATTCTAACTAAATCTATCTGCTTTACAAATATTTCTTACTAATAGCTACAAACGATACCTGTTTCTCAATTCAATGTCTTTTGTTAATAAACTTTTACCGATATAATCTTTCGGGGAGAAAAACCACCGCAAATCCCGTCTATTGTTTAAACACTGTCTATATACACTTTTATTCTGGGTAAATCCATTCCACAATAACCGACTTATTTAAATTTCTTATCGATAATATTTGAAAGTCTTGTCTCTGAGGCCTAATGAACAATTCTTCGAACAACTTAAAATACATATTTTGTCTTATACAGGATGTTTGAAAATTTATATGCCCGTGTCTTTATGAAATATCAATAATTTTAATTTTTATTTAAGTAATAAATTTTGTATATCGGTTTTTTTATTGCTAATGGACATTCAAAAGTACAACAATATATATATATATATATATATAAATATATATATATATATATATGTATATATATATATAAATATATATAATATATAAATAAATATTATATTTATAATATATATATATATATATATAAATATATATTTATATATATATATATATATATATATATATATATATATATATACAGATTGAACCAAATTAAAACGGAACATACAATTTAATACATGTCTGTTTGAACTGCAATTGAAATAGTGGACCAATATAAAACTTGGACAAAAATAAATCCATACCTGGGTATAGACATTGTATAAAATATCGTTCAACTATCTGTCTCACAACAATGTTGTTTGCGTAAGACGGGTTTGTCTAAGGAAACGATAATAGTACAGGAAATAAATCTCGAAAAAAGTTTAAAACCTCGCAATTTTTTCGTCCTGCATGTATCCAGTTGAAATTTTAACAGAAGGTAGGTGATAGCCCAAGGATCAAAATCTATATCGAACCGAAGTGCGCTGAAGGGTTTTAGGGGTGAAAACTACCCCTAATTGTCAAAAATTATAAAATAACATATTAAACCTGAATATGGGTAAGATTTGGTTTGAATTAGTTAAATAATGATTATTTTATACTTTTGAATAGAGTTCCATAATATTTCAACCCTTAAAAAGCAACCCTTGTTAGAGGTTAATGTAAAAAAATTACTAATTCTAAAAAAATGATTTCGCCTTGGATCAATTTGGATAAAATTTGGATTTAAGCTTAATTCACCCGCTGCTTTATAGTTTATGTCATGTCGACGAACCTGATTGTTCTAAGGGTGAAAACTACCCGTAATTGTCAAAAATTATAAAATAACATATTAAACCTTAATATGGGTAAAATTTGTTTGAATTAATTAAATAATGATAGTTTCGTGCTTTTGAATAAAGTTCCACCATATTTCAACCCTTAAAAAGCGACCCTTATTAGAGATTATATAAAAAAATTAGTAATGCGAAGAAAATGATTTCACCTTGGAACGATTTGCATAAAAATTTGGACTTAAACTCACCTCACTCTCTGCTTTATAGTTAATCATGCCGATGAACCCTGATTGTTTCTTAGGGACGAAAACTACCCCTAATTTTTAAAAATTGTAAAAATAAATATTATAAATCTTAAGATGAGTGAAATTTTGTTTGGATTAGTTAAATATAATTTTTTATACTTTAAAAATACAAAATTCATACATTTTCAACCCTTAAAAATCAATTGTTATGAGTGCTATAGGGGAAAACAATTTTTTGCCAAAAATTTTGCAACTTTTCAACTTTTGAAAATTACCCTTTACAACATTGCAGTTTTTATAAACTAATTTATAAGATATAAATTAAAAAAAGTAGAATTAAATACAAAAAAATTTATCAACATAAAAAATCACCATATATTCTTATACATTTACATAAATAGTAGAAAATATTTACATTTATAGGTAAAACAATTATAATATTAATTTTATACGTCTTCAATTACATCTTCATCGTGATCTATGTCATTCTCACATCTTCAATTATATTGGTTGGACTATTATTGCAACCCTTCACCTAAGCACCCAGAACAAATAGAGTTACAGTATAAACCAACTTTTCTGGACCCACATGAAACACCGCATCCTTTTTTGCATTGCCAAAAAATAATTTTCAAAAGTTTATCGATTGCAGGTTGTTTGTTCATGTGTACGGGTAATAACACAAACCATCTTTGGAATACCATCCCAATCTGTTGCTCTAATATTTTCATTGCCAAGCCATAGACATATGAGCAGATGTTTAATTCTGTCGTATGGGATTTCAAAAATAAGAACGCTTAAATTTCAAATGTATAACGCCCCACTAGCTAATATACCGGTTTTGTAGATTATTATGCTCCGAAATGTACTGTACAATACTAATAGAATTTTCCGGAAAAAAATTCACCGGTTTTTTTTAACGTATTTCTTTTAATTTTTAACGATAGAGTGTTTCTTTAACCCTCCGTTAGTCGCTAGGAAAAACTGAGCATCAAGAGTCGCTACGGTGTCTGAGACCGACAATTAAAAAAGATTGTTTTTAATATAAAATTCATACAAATATTTTATATTGTTTATAGGAATAACTAAAAAATATTTTTGAAAAATATTTTATTGAAAAAAAAAACAGATACAAAATGAAAAACACTAGCATAACAATATATTGTGAATATTGATCTGAAGCTATTTCTTTGTGGCATTTTAAAGTAATTACTGTTTAAATGGGAATAAGCCACAATTAAAGGTTAAAGTAAGTTTAATGATGTTTTCATTTTCACATCGGATATCGTTCTCAAAATACAAACATTAGTTTGTATTACGTACTATATAATTTTCTTATCTTGTTCTAACATTTTACGGTGGAATAGCCCTTTTTCATCTAGTAACGCTAAATTTTTTCCACTTTCTTTTTTCTCATCTGTAACATCTTGTTCCGATTCATTTCCACCATCACCACCTCAATTTGTTCTATTTCGCTTTCACTTTTTCATCGTCAAAATAATTTTCATCGTCGGTAGGAATCATGTCCATAATTCCAACAAGCGTTGAATCAAAGTTGTTTGGCTTCAAAGGACATCTATGAATAAAAGAATTGACAAAAACT